CTATCAGATTGTCGGCCTCAGAGACGGCAAACTTATTGATCGGCGACTCCACGTATATTGACGTCAGCGCCGCTCGCATATTACGTAACTGTGCGCCCAAAACAAGCAAATAAATCATAAAAACATTGTTTAATATAATGTATTCATGTTTTGGTTTCAATAAAACGGTATGTTTTTTGTGCGAGTGTTTTAGCATTAAATTATAGGTCAACGGAAAGCGAAAAACAGCGGTTTTGTGGGCGAAAAATGGGGTCCTATCCTAACTGTGCGCTTATGGGTTAATGTAATTAAAACAAAAACTCATCAACACTTACGTCCCACACTTTGACAGTCCGGTCGTCTGCTCCCGAAATGACTTTATCGGTGCCCAGAAAGGAGGCCGACATGACTGACCTTTAAGTTTGCAAATATAGGAAAAACAAAACAAAAAACATAAAATTCATGAATAATTAAATGTCAATAATTTTCTGTCATTTATATTCAATTCGATGATCAAAAATAGATGCAAAAAATATAGAGCAGAAAATNTTTAAGTTTGCAAATATAGGAAAAACAAAACAAAAAACATAAAATTCATGAATAATTAAATGTCAATAATTTTCTGTCATTTATATTCAATTCGATGATCAAAAATAGATGCAAAAAATATAGAGCAGAAAATCGATGACATTTGCAGCGAAAACGAGCGTTAAATAGAGATAACAGCAAAAAAGACATACTCTGTGTGGCCCTGGAATACAGAGACGGAATGTATGGCATCCCTGAAGTCCCACAACCGGAAGGTCGTGTCGTGGGATGAGGTGACTATGAGTCGAGCGGACCCGTGAGCGCACACGTCGGTCAGCTCCTGGTCGTGTCCGGCCAATTGCACCACCAGTTGTCCCGTATGGAAGTCATAGATGTTCGCCGTGTGATCCCACGACGCGGTCACGCATTGGTCCACACCTGAGATCCAGTCGCACGAAATGACGACACTCTGATGGCCCGTCAGTTCGCATATTGAGCTCTTAATCACTTGACACTCTTCTGGCATCTCTGAAGTGTCTTCGCTTTCAGTACTTCTCTGCAGATACTAAACAAATAGTNTCGGGTCAACGTTTTGGTCCGCTTCTGTCAACAGCTCTATAAGACTTGTTTTGTGTATAATATTCTTAGAAGTGAATAGAGTGACGGCCCGTCCCTTCTCCTTATGTCTACCGGTTCTGCCGATCCGATGGGTGTAGTCCTCCAGATTGGACGGGAAGTCATAGTTAATGACGAGCTTTACGTCTTTGAAATCTAGACAATTCGCAGACATATATGTGTTGATAAAACAATCGCCAAAAACGACATAACATATCGCATACCTAACCCTCTGGAGGCGACATCAGTGGCCACTATTATAGAAATGTTTCCCCTTCTAAACTCTGCGGACCAAACAAAAAAACCATTGCATTCATTAGAGAGCGAATTAATTGGATTTAATTATAACAGTATATACACCACACCTCTGATAACGTAATCCCTTTCGCGCTGGTGTTTGTTTGAGTGGAAAGCGCGGGCGGGAAACGAGTCCTGCGCCAGCGAACGGACCAATCGATCGGCCGTTTTCTTATGTCTTACAAAAATGATTGTTTTGATGAATCCGGATATCGTGGGAACAAATTCGTTCATAATGTCCAGCAATATCTTCTCTTTGTCGCACTCTTTGCACACTTTTATCGTTTGCTCAATATTTTTGTTAACAGTCAGAGATTGATTGGATCGCGTTTTGCCGACATTCACGCGCACGTAGTCTTTGAGGAACTGATCGGCCATCGACTGAACCGATTGCGGCCAAGTGGCCGAAAACATCAGTGTCTGGCGTTTGGCGGGCAATGCGTTCATTATGTACTGAAAGTCAGAGCCTAAGCCCATCCGCAACATGAGGTCCGCCTCGTCGACGATAATGAAGTCCACGTAATCGAGTCGTGCGATACCCGTCTCCAGAATGGTCTTCAGCCGAGAGGGAGTGGCGATCACTATATGAGGATTGCCTCGCTTTAAGAGCATTGACTGCACTTCGAAGGACACGTCTCCGTACAGACACACGGATCGCGCGAAATGAAACTTATCGACCACTGTCTGGATCTGATGAGTCAACTCACGGGTCGGCGATAGTATCAGACATTTGGGCCATCGGTCGAGACCCGCGATCAGTGTCCGCAACTGTCAACACAAGAGATGAACGTTAAATAAGTGACAACAAGTAATGGACACAACTGTAGGGTTGACTTACGAGCGCCGGTAACACAAAGCACAGCGTCTTTCCGGACCCGGAGCTGGCGATGGCCACCAAATCCCTGCTCGAGAAGATCACTGGCAATGATTGGGACTGAATCGGTGTCGGAGTTATGAACTCCAGTTGTTTGATCTTTTGGGCCAACTTTGGCGGCCATTTATAAGAGTCAAACGACTGGATCGGATCCGGTATGCGATCGCCGAAACACTGGATGTCGTGCTGTTGTCGATACTTCTGGACGTCTACTATCGAGCCGTCATCGGTGGTCACACTCGTACTCAACGACGATAACAGTCCTTAAGACACAAAACAAAAGCTGATTACCAAAAAACGTGACAAACATTGCATCATAAGTCGTGACTTACTTCTTGTGATGAAACAATCGCGAGTCAACTCATGTCTGGAACCGATGGACAGCCACTTCCCGATCGCTGTCTTCGCGGACCAACAGATGATTGTTTTTGTTGTCATTTAATCGACGAAAACATGATTTAAAGCAATCATTAAATGCAGACAAACTGTAAACAACACATGAATTGTTGTAAACATTGATGGATAGCGCCGTCTATTGGCTGTCGATGTCATAGCATTTCAATGGCAATCAATATATGGCCAAACATTCACATAAAACGTTACAAAATGTAATTTCACTTTTCATTGCCACTGCTATTTGAGAACCCCATCGACTGCACTACCTCTACATTTTGACACATATTTGCCCCCAATTACTAGCAGCGCAATCATTATCCCCCGCCCATCCCTCACACCATTTACCGGCACGTTGTATACGAATGGCGCCGAAATTAATTGCCTAATAATTTAGTGCTTTTTACGAATCGAGAGGTGAAGTGAATGCAGAAAACAAAACACACATTCAGTTTGTAGTGGAGTTGTATTGAGTGATCGGTTTGTTGTCTCGCATTTGAGACCAAATGTCAAAATAAAGTCGAGTTTTTCTAATCAAACGATTATTATGTGAGAGAAAAACAAATGAAAAAACAAAACAATCGTTTAATACATGTGTAGAAAAGCGATGCGATTATTATTATAGCGTTTATTAACGTTTTGCGAACCAATTGTTGTGCTGTTTATCACTGATTGTAATCAGTGTTTGATTGTGTGGTTGTATTGTCTGTCTGTTTGGGTGCCAATCGATGGCCACATCCAAGCATCGGATCAAACTGTCATCGGATGGCGATGTCATCACTGAATCCAATATGAAGTATATCTGCCTTTTCATTGGATGTGCAATGCATTCATGTATTGCTTTCAATGCATTCATTAATTATACATTAATTGTCCTCTTTTTCCCATTTCATGAACACTTGATTTATCGCTAAATTTTTGCTTTTCAATCATGTTTTGTATTGGATGTGCAATGCATTCATGTATTGCTTTCAATGCATTCATTAATTATACATTAATTGTCCTCTTTTTCCCATTTCATGAACACTTGATTTATCGCTAAATTTTTGCTTTTCAATCATGTTTTGACTTTTGTATTGACTTTTTTAAACAGCGTTTAGTTTAGGCATTAGTTTTCACTTTCAGTCTCTGTTTTGATAATAATATGTAATGTTTTTTCTCGTGTCTTGTGTTTAATAGTCTTGTGTTTGAGAATCGATTTCAAGACAATTATTATTAAGTTTTTTATTATTGTTTTTTTCGGTTTACTTTAGATCTACTGTTTTTTGGCTTCACTTTTGTCTACTGTTTATTGAATAGTCATTTGTCTGTCGACTTGTGTTGTGTTTGCGATTAATATTAACGTCAATATTATTATCCATTTATTAATGATATTGTGATGCCTTTCAGACACCGATTACACCATCTGTTCGGCCAAATCGAGAAGGAGTTCGACGGACTCATCACCGAAAACGTGGCCCGTATTCACACATTTCATACATTTCCAGACTTTTGCCGTTTTTTTGCTTTTCATTATCTCATCTCTCGTTTCGCTTATTTTTCATTAGTTTTTATTAATCGTTAAATTTTATGCAATTTTTTAATTTTTATGATTGATTTCTGCTTTATTTCTCTGATATTTCAACACTAATTTTTTATGCAATTTTTTGCTTTTTATTTCATTTTTTGTATTTTAGTTTTACATTTATTTTCACTTTTTAATGCTTTTGAAGTACTTT